AATTAATATTGTTTAAAATATTTAATAAAAATATCAATTTTAATAAAAACATTTATATTACATTTATATACAAATTAAATTTTGTTTTAACTAAAGAGTAACAAATTATTTAATTTAAAAAAAATAAAATAAAATAAAATAAAGATAAAATAATACAGTAAGTAAACTGAAACTAATACCATGATACATGTTGTGACATATGACATTTATCATAGTGTTATTAATATGAGAGAAAGTAAAAAATTTAATGATGATATCTTCTTTAATGGTGTTAATATGATATTAACGAAAAACATTTGATTATTTCAATTTGTCAAAAGATAAAAGATTTTAACAAAAAAATATCTAATGGAATGATTAAACCTAAAAAAATATCTAACGAAAACACGGTATGTTTGCAAACATAAACCATAAAATTGAATAATAAAAAATAAAATAAACAAATGATAAAAAATATGCAATTATATTCATTCCCGTGAAACGAGACTTTTAAAGATTATTATATTATTTATTATATTAATTCAAGTTTATAAAAATATAATTATAATTTAAAATAAGATTTTAATTATATAAATTAAATAATGATATTTGAATTGTTCTAATGAGGATGTATTTAAATTTCTTACTTGGAATTCCTCCGAGAGTGACTCTTAATTTTTATTTTATTTTGTTACTTTTTTTTTAATCTTAAGTTTATCCTCAAGTAAGTTGAGTCTTTCCTTTTAATTTTTTTATGTAAGGTTTCTTGCTTTTTTTTTTTATAATTTTAATGACTTAGTTATTGTACAATATGATTTAAACGTGGTTAATAATTTGAGTCACTATCGTAATTGTGAGAAGGATGTTTAAACATAATGTTGTTTTCTTTCAAAAAAAAGTTTTCTAAAAGGAATAGTGAATAAGTTTACAAGTTCACTTTAAAGAAAAAGAGATAAGTTATTAAGACTTCTTAACTACTAAGTCTTTCATGGCCATAACTTATCTCAATACTCCTCGCACAACTTTTCTCAATTGAAAATTAATTGAAAAAGAAAGATTTGATTATCAGAAAAAAAAATACAAACAACAAAACTAAAATATAAGACAAGATAAACTTAAACTAAAGAATGTCTTAATCAACACACATTCACCGTCTAAAACATTTTTATTTGGTTTAATGTCTCGGTAGGTCCCTATTTTTAGCATGAATATTAAATAGGTACCTTTTCTTTTCGGCGTTTCAATTGGGTCATTTTTTTTGTAAAATTGTAGCAATTAAAGGTCTGCCATCAAATTGGACAAAAGACTGTTTAAGTTTGGGTTATGTGGCATTAAAAATGAATTTTGTATTAAAAATTTGGATTGTACAAATTGGATTCAGATTTAAGAAAGGGCAAAGTGGGCAAAATCTAAAAATTTAAGTGCAGCTCCTTTTGCAAATGAGATTGGGGAAAAACCTGCGTTCTTGTGTTCTTTCTTCTATTCGATTTGAAGCACAGGGTTCATGGGTGAAGAACATTGGGTTAGAAGAGATGGATAATGAAAAATCTGCATGTGTTCCCCTACTACACATCCCGACTCCTTCCGATGCAGCCTACACAAGAACACTGCCAGCAACAACCACCACGCAGATTCCTACCCCTCAAATCGCCTCAATATGCGCAGACCCGCGATGAAGAACTCGCTTGTGAGGATCGGAGGCGTGAAGGATGAGTGGGTGAAACGTGCCCTAACCGCGCTTATTCGACCCAGTTCTCATCAGCAAAGGAGGAGAGCGGCCTTCGAGCCAAGGCCCAACCGTCTCTCTATTATGAACAAGGCCATGATCTTTGATTTTTTTTCAATTTAATTTTACAGGTTCGTTCTCCATTTTACTGCTATTGCGGTGGTTTACCTACCCCAATTGCCCTGATCTGCTGCCAGAGTTGGATTTCAACGAAGCGGTTGGGAGGTAGCGGCAAGTCCTCTCCAGCGAGTTTTGATTTTGTCGTCTGGAACAGAAGATTAGTGAATGTCAACTTGCGCATTTCCCCATAGATCTATGACACTGGACCCACACACACAATTACTATTGTACATAACTTTTGCTATCGAAGCAGAGTTTTGGACCAATTTTCATTTTTGCCTTTTCCATGGTTAAATTTAAGAAAACACACACACACACACACACACACACACATATATATATAACTTCCTTGCGACTTCTGCATTTCATGTTTTTCACCCAAGAACCCTGCTCTTTGAATCGAATCGAAAAAAGAACGCTAACCATAGTCTCAATTTTTTTTCCCAATCTCATTTGCATTTCTGAATTGCAGGGGGCTGCACTTAAATTTTTAGATTTTGCCCACTTTACCCTTCTCTAAATCTGATTTCACATATGTACAATTCAAATTTTTAATACAAGACTCGTTTTTAATGCCACGTGAGATTAATGAATACACTGATCGTGCCACGTAACCCAAACTTAAACTTCCATTTGTCCAATTTGACGACAGACCTCTAATTGATACAATTTTACAAAAAAAGGACCCCATTGAGACGTCGAAAAAAAGGGACTTATTTGAGATTCACGCCGAAAATAGGAACCTACCGAGACTTTAAACATTTTTATTTAAAACAAAGGATTACTAGTTAGGAGATGAAAAAACATCATAGGCTCTTTCAAAATACCTAACTAGATCGAAATCCTATCCTGGTGTTTTACTTTTGTAATCCTTGCTCTTTCTCTCATCTATTTGACCTCTCTTGCATACCTTCCTTGTAGAGTCACCAAAGAGTAGTACTCCTTCCAACTCTCCATTTCCTAGGATGTTATCTTAAGAAGTTAGTTCACCATCCAAATAGAACTAGAGCTGTCAAAACGAGTTAAAATCCATAAGCCAACCCGATCCACCACAGGTTTAAACTGGGTTGGGTTAAACCTTTTTTGCAAATTTCAATATAAGCTAAAAATGGACCCAACCTACTAAAAGCTTGTTAACAATTTGGCAAGTATACAAATTCGTTACAAATAGTAAATGGAAGTTCCAAGTATTGTTTCCCAAAGGATTTACACTTGTTTGTCTAATTATTTTAATTTACCAATTACAACCTTAATACAAGTTGTAATTGAAATTATAATGATAAAATGATTGCAAACATCAAAATTATAAGAATTGTAAAGTGATTCAGTCAAAGCTTCATTAGGATTGGATTTCATGAATCATAATACTCTATAGAAATTATCTCTTATCTCATTCAAACATTCATATCAAAAGCTTACTAATCCTAATTCTTTACGAGCAAGTTCTAAATCGATATGCTAAATTACTAATTCCTTATTTCATTTAACATACAATTTGCATTAAATCCAAATATCTAGAATGACCAACAGAGATTAAAGCCATTCCTAAAACCAATTCTCTTGGGTGCTCTATTTATGTCTACGTTCCATATTACTTCCTAGTAATTACTAACATTCAAATGAATGAAATTTTCAAACATATACATTAAAATTGAGATAGAGCATATGAAGTAACAAATATTCTATTGCACAGGAAATTTACATCACTTTGAGTACATTACATCCAATCCTAAATAAAATGGAGTTTAACTATTCCTAGTCATCTAGAACATACAAATTTGATGGATGCATGTAGTCTTGATGCCCATAGTAGCTTTCGACCAATTTACGAGATTCTTTGTGCATCCATCAACCAAAACTGTCTTTCTTTCTTTCATTCATGACTAAATAATCACTTTTAGAAATTAACCTCTCGATGAGCAAGAAAACACTTTTGTTGGGTGAGAATTAACTTTTGTTTCGCTTTTAACTTATATGTCTTGCTAAGTGAGACCATATACTCGCTAGGCGAGTATCTTTCTTTTTCGCTGGACAAAAGAACTATGACTGAGCGAAAGGGTTCTAGCAATAAACTCCAATGCTCTTTAAATATCATTTTCCTACTCAATAATCTAAAAAAAAACACATAACAGTTAGCTTAATTTAAACAAAAAATTAATATTACATCTTCCTATAGGAAAACAAATCATAGGAAAACAAATCATACAAACAAATCATACATGAATAAATACAAATTAAAGATTAAAAATAAACATGAATAATAAATATTAATCGTGCGTATCAATTATGTATTTTTATAATGAAAATATATTTATTCAATTATGAATTTTGAGTAATTATAAATTAAATTATAATTACATTTCCACTTAAATTGTTTTTGTGTTTGAGAATGTGATGTTCTATATATATATATATATATATATATATAT